AGACCTTCGAAAATACTTTTTAAGAGGGTTAGAGATCGTCCCTTTATCTTCAAAAATATGTATATTCGTATAAAAACAAGTAAAAAAGCTGTAAGTACGAACGGGCCGAAATTTATTCAAAAGGGTATTCGCCCTCCACCATTTGCAACAAATTTGGCAATTCTCAAAAACAATAAAAACCGTTAAAAATTCTGTTAAAATCTTAAAAATACTGAATGTAGCTGTTATATTAGGGTCTATACGACGACAAGCACCTACACAGGTAACTTTTGTCATAAGCCATTACAATATTCAAATGCGAAACTTATAAAAAAAATCGGTGAATAATGTAGCTAAAATCATTAAAATACCGAATTTCGGGAGGTACCGTTATATGGGGGCTATACGAAGACGTGAACCTGTACAGACAATTTTCTGTCTTAGGCTGTAGTGTCCATTTCGAACTTCAAATACCAAATTTTGAACAATTCCGATGAATATTGTCGCAAAAATCATCAAAATACCAAATATCGGGAGGTTATTTGGGGGCTATACCAAAACGTGGACCTACATGGCCCATTTTCAATACCAAAAGTCCTGCAGACATAATACACGTTTGAGTAAAATTTTATCAATCTACTTCAATTCGTTCGGATACCGAACGGATACCACGGTGGAGGGTATAATGAGGTGCATGGTGTTAATCATTGATATTCTCTGGAATACATGTACCTATTTTCATTCTACATAATTCATATGAAAGGTGACCTCAATAGCAAGGTTTATATGTATAAATGGTAAATGTATTGGCATTTTAGTGAATTGATTTCGAAACATGCACTTTGAAAATATTTTAATGACGGACTACAGTCATCAGTGTCCAGGTGAAACGGGCAAAGCTATATACTCTATAAAAATGATACCGTCAAAAGGGGTTCAATACAAAAAATCATCAACATTTTCTCAGTGAAAATAAGTCTTTAAAACATCTACATATTTATATAAAAATGGGTTGCATTGTGTTAGTCACTGATGTTCTCTAAAATGCATGAACCAATTTCTATTGTGCAAACTTCATATGAAAGGTGACAGTAATAGCAAGGTTTTTATGTATAAACGTTACGTACATTGCCATTTTAGTATATTTATTTCGAAACATGGATTTTGAAAATATTTCAATGGCTGAAGGCAGTCATCAACATTCAGGTGAAACGGGTGAAGAAATGAATAAAATATGCCAAAATCTGTATTTTTTCTTCGCTTTCGAAGTTTGCGTCCAAAAGAAAAAATATTCGCTATCGAATTTAACTATAAGTCGCCAAAGAGACGAAATCTGTAGATACACTTTGCGACAAGAAAATCTGCCTATCAAAAGGACTCAAACTGACATTTTGTCAAATTTTCAAACATTCAAAAGTATACCCAAATCTGTATTTTTTCTCATCGAATTTATTCCTCATCGAATTTAACTATAAGTCGTCAAAATCTGTAGAAATCTGTTTGACAAGAGAATCCGTTTATCAAAAAGGGGCAAATGAGCCAAGCTGATATTTAGTGACATTTTCAAGCATAACATTCATGGCGTTCCAAAATATGCCAAAACCTGTAAATTGACTTCACTTTGGAGTTTTGGGTCCAAAAGAAAAAATATTCTCCATCGAATTTCACCATGAGTCGCCAAAGAGAAGAAATCTGTAGATATACTTTATAATGAGAGGGGCCAATCAACCAAGCTGATATTTGCTAACATTTTAAAGCTTATAATAATAGATGGGGTTCCAAAATATGCCGAAATCTTTTATTTTTCTTTGGTTTTCTCCGATGAGAAAACATTCGCTGTCCAGCAGTTTGTAAGAAACAAAATTATCGTGTTTACTTGCAAAAGAGGTCCGTTGAAAACGTGCACCTTCGGTTGGCCACCAGAACTCAAGCGCCGGCCATGTTGATGATGTGGGCCGCCATAACAGCCGATGGTCGCTCTCCGCTCTCCTCGTATTAATCGACCGTGGCATCAGAATAAATGCCGAATATTATCGCGGAAATATTCAGGAGGGTGTATTAAAGCCTTGGGCACTCAAACATTTTGGCCGCAGACCTTGGCCATTCCAACAGAACTCAGCACCAGAACCATCGCCCTCAGCACGCGCCACCCAAGAATGTTTACAAAATGAGGTTCCTCGCTTCATTTCCAGTGCACAATGGCCACCAAAATCTCCTGATACCTACCCTTTAAACTATTGTGTCTGAAGTATTTTGGAAACCAAGGTTGGCACTTAAAAAATACCAAAGTGTCGATCACCTCAAGCAAGCGCTTCGCCGGGAATGTGCTAAAATACCCTAGAGCAACATTCGGGCAGCGTGTGACGGTTTTATTGGCCGTTTAAAGGCCATAATTCGTGCCAAAGGTACCAAATTCGAACAAATCTAAACTTATTCTAAAATTTGATGCTATTTCCGACAATTTTCGCTTTCATTCAATTCATTGAATTTTTTATCTAACCCTGTAGAACCTACTACAATAAATATGTTAAAGATTACTTTCTAAGAAATTATGACGTCTTTACAATAATATAAATGCTTCTGTCAATAGCAGACCTTGTCCTTTGTCTATAGATGAACCTTAAAGAACCTTGGAAATCCTAAAAAAGTCCTTCTATTCATAAAAGGGAGGCCTTTCGAAATTTTGTCTATTGAAGGAATTCATGTAATCTTCGATTCCGCCTCAACAGAAATCCATCAAGAGCAAAGGACATTCAAAAGGCCTGTGTTTTCTACCGATAAAATACTTTCAACAATAGTCAATGTAATAGGTTATGTGTCATTAAAAGACCTTTATGAGGTATTTTATTTCTTGTGAAAAGGAAAATGACAAGGAAATCATACCTTCTAAAGGAATTCTTTTCATAGAAAACCTTTAAGATACGTTCTATTTATGGAGGAGCATACCAAAGTCTTAATAGACAGCTGAACTACAGGAGGTATTGAATAAATATATAATTCTTTAAAGGTCTTTATGAGATATTCTATAAAAATACACATATGTGGATCTTTAAAGGTTGGAAATATCTTGAAAAATTTAAAAAACGAATTCCGTCAGAAACAAAAAAACCGCCATGAATGCCATTGTAGGGGCCATACGAAGACGTGATCCTGTATAAGTACAGGGTTGCCCATATTCGACGGACCCATGTTTTTCTTTGGGCCCATTCCAATCGACGAGGCTTGTCCGCAGGCAACATTCTTTGCGTCAATTGAATTTTGTACGGGAACAATCCGTTGTAATGTGGACCGAGCCATGTCCAACTGCTGAGAACGGCGTTTTTGGGATGTTCTTGGGGACCTCTCAACACTGGCTAGTACGGCAGCGATATTCTCGGCCGATCGCTTTGCGCACTTCTCACATTTTTTAATGTTTTAAAAGCACGTTGAGTTTTCACAATTGACTTCTTGTAAATTTCAACTATTTCAGAGCGCTCGCGTGGCGTGTATTGGTTCATGGTGAAAATCTGCTTGGACTGACGTTTCAAACGCGGTATGTCATTAAGCGATGTGACATCTCTATCAAAAGTTATGGCGTTGCCAGATGGGTCCGTCGAAGACCCCATAAAGTATATATATTCATAATCAGCTTAAAATTCTAAGTCGATTTAACGATGTCCGTCTGTCTGTCTGTCCGTCTGTTGAAATCACGATACAGCCCACATTATTTGACGTAGAGCTCCAAAATTTAGCAGAGCAATTTGTATTGTGTCTGGGATGGTTGGGTACCTCTCGATTTTCGGTATTTTGATTACTTTTCCCACATTTTTTCACAGATTAGTCTGAAAATTGGTATTTGTTGGTCATAATGGGTTCCAGCTCCGATGGCGAAACATTGCATGTAAGGGTCCACGTTTTGGTATAGTACTCATATAACGGTACCTTCCGATATTAGGCATTTTAATGGTTTTTGCCACATTTCTTCGCGGATTTGTTTAGAAATTGGTATTTGTTGGTCTTAATGTTGGTCTGCTGGCGAAACACTGTATGTATAGGTCCACGTTTTTGTATAACCCCACACAGTCGTATTTCCCGATATTCGGTATTTTGATGATTTTTGACACATTTTCCCATGAATATGTCTATAAATTGGTATATGTGGGTTATAATGGCCTCTAATGTTTCCTTTACCCTAAGGTGGAGGGTACTTAATGTTTTTTTACTGGTTTTATAGTTGCATAATTTTCATAGGGATTTTAGTGAACATTCATGCCATTCATTAATCAATTTTTACTTACAGTTTGAAATTCACTGCAAATATATTTGAGCCTGAAAGTATGCTTTACTTTCAAATATAGTGCCAATTGCTTCCATCATTTTTTTGTTTTATTGGTTAGGTGTAACATGTTTGTCATTGTAGATAATTTCTGCAGTTCGCTGCCAACACAGTAGATGGCGCTGAAAGAGTTTTCTGTTTTATAGATATTTTCGATAATGTGTTTTATTTTCTCTAGATGTCACTGCAATGCAGATAATGGATAATAAGCAAGATATAATTTCAAGAATAAACTTACTTGTTTGCAGTTTTACTGTCGCCTGAAAATTAAGGTGGGCCCACTAACTTTTTTTCTTTTACGCAATTGCGTATTTCTCATCATTAAATTTTGATTAAATGTCTTTTAGCAAAGATAACCGTCAGAAAATGAAAATGGTGATTGGACAAGAAAACACTGTTTCAAAATTAACAACTCGACTTCGAAAATCAATAGAGAATAATCTACTAAGTCCGTCCATGAAATTTTATTTCATGAAATTATGCGTTTTAGGTGAAGGATGGAAGGCTTTACACAAAAACCCATAATATCTCCGTCCAAAAACGTGGACTAAAGACAAACGTTAAATATATCAGTATCGGTCTTTCTTTGCCATCACAATGCAGAGAACCCAGCTTATAACAATTTTTGAATTACATTTTGATTTAAATTGTATAATTTTTCAATTTGTATTTACTAATGTTTTTTATATTTTATTTCTCGTTTTAGGTTTCAACAATAAATTTTAGAGCTGAAAAATCAATAATTGTTCATGTGGTGCTTAATTCCCTTTTAAGACAAGCAGGATAATCGGAAATTCATTTTTTTAAAAAATTATATTTTACATTTATAAGAAAAAAAAAATATAAAAAAGAATAAAATATAAATTGTATAAGCCTTCAAATGTGTGTTTTATTGAAATTAAATTTAAACTACACTGTAAGCCTCAAAGTATGCTTTGATGTTATGCTAAATTCACATATGATTTTTTTTATAAATTTGGCTGCACTGGCAATGACATCCGGATAGCGCCATCTATTGAATCACATGATTGAAAATGAGGAAATATTTTAAAATGCAACAAAATTGTCATGTCTTTAAAAGGGAAAACAGCTTTAGTGCTATTTTACGATGGAAATACTGCCGGAAATAGAGGAAATACTAGAAAGAGAGATCATAGCTTTGACTTAAAAACAAAAATATATTTAAATAAAATATTTATGATTAAACTTAAACCAATTTTAAAAAATTTATTGATTATTCGAAATTTTGACCCTTTGTGGGGGAGTTACCAGAAGGAGTGGATCGATCCTATCTTTACAGCAGATCTTGTGTTAGAAAAAATATGAAGAGAACAGGATGCTTATTTCGGATATTATAATCGTTTTGGTTATTCAAAACTTTGACGCTTTGCGGGGGAGGTACCAGAAGGAATGGTCCGATCTCTATCATCTGTGTAACAAATCTTGTCTTGCGGGAAATATTGAGATGTGTCAAGTCTGGATTGAATTGGAAGTAAATTTTGCGTTTTATGAGCTTCATGAATATTCAACATTTTGAGCCTTTGTGGGGAGGTATCAGAAGGAGTGGACCAATATATCCCAATTTCACACCAGACCTTGGTTTAATAAAAATATTGTGATATGTGCAATAATTTAAAGCAATCGAAATCTTGCATCATATTTTATAAGAGTTATAGATATTCGAAATTTCGATCCTTTGTGGGGGAGGTACTTAATGGAGTGGACCAATATTGTCCATTTTCGCACCTGACCTAGTACTGATGCAAATATTAGGATTCGCAAAGTTGGAGCAAAATCGGATTATCCTCTCTCTTTCTGAGCAGAAAATTATTTTCTCTGAAAATTTTGAACTTTTGTGGGAGAGGTACCAGTAGGAGTGGGCCGATATTGCCCGTCTCCGAACTCGATATATGTTTGATAATAATATTACGATGTACCAAGTTTGGACCGAATCGGATAATCCCTTCGATCGTGCGGACCAGCCAGACGGGCGGACGGACAGAGCTAGATGGTCTCTAAATGCCCTGAAATGGAATTGGTCCAAAGAGATCTAGGGTCTAAAACCGTTATTTCGATTAGACACGTTTTGAGCGTATCAAATGATATATACCCTCTCTAGCCATATGGCTGAGTATATAGAAATCCACGATTTTATATTTGATAGTCCTTCTAAAAACATTTTTTTAACATCTGCATTTATAGCTCCGATAGTCCTTCTTAAAATATTCCTTAAAAACCAACGCTTATAGCTCTGATTGTCATTCTAAAAACAGTTTTTAACTTCTACGCTTATAGCTCCGATAGTCTTTCTTAAAATATTCTTTAAAAACGCATACTTATAGATTTTCTCGTCTTTTTGAAAATATTCGTAAAATTCCAAAACTATAGTTCTGTTCGTTCTTCTGAACATATTTTTTAAAATACAAAATATACGCTTGTAGCTATGACAGGCAATAACGCTCTTGACTCAGATTGTCCTTCTGAAAAGAATCTATAAAAATATTCGTACAAAGTCATTCAAAAACAGGCATTGAAAGTCCATGCTTTTAGATCTGAAAGTCCTTTGTAAATATTCCTAAGGAACTACTCTGATAGCTGCGAAAATTTGACACCCTTTAAAATAATATTTTTTGAATCTAAGCTTATTGCTCATAAATTATTTGAAAAAAAAAAATGTTATTAAAGGCCATGCTTATGGCTCCTTTAAAAAATATTCTTTAATAAATACGCTTGTATATCCGTTAGTCCTTCAAAAATGTTCTAAAAATCCACCATAAAATCATTTATTTCATTTGTTTAGCGAGAAACCCGGGTTCCACTGTTAAGAAATCACAATTTTCTTTCATTTTCAACAAAATATGCCTGTTTTGAATCATGTGCTTCAATAGATGGCGCTATCCCGATGTCTTTGCCAGTGCTACCAAGTTTTCAATGGAAATCAAAATTCAAAGCATACTTTCAGGCGCAAAGTGAGCCCCCACCAACGATGCACTCCCAATGAAAATGAAAACCAATTTGATTTTTTCTTCAGTAACTTTTTTTCGTATATATAATTTTATTAGTTTTGTTTTTATAATTCTTTGTTGTTGTTTCTTTTATTTCCTTGTAATTATTTATGTATATATAATGTATATATTATTTGTTTTTGTTTGTGGTTGATTTCCTTACAACTGTTTGTTCTAGTATACATGTTTTTTTTGGGAAATTTAATGAAATTAAAAACAATAATGAGAAAATTTGAAACAGATCATTTTAAACAAATAGAAATCAACACAAATCGTAGTTTATTTTTAACCTAAAATTATATATTGTTTTTCGTATAAAATAGTAAAATTAAATATTAAAACACTGCACTCGTTGTAAAAAATATTTGATTTATACATAGAAAATTTTGTATGTTTTTCTTTTATTATTTTACATAAATAAGTAGACATTCTAACAAATAGTTTCCGTTGTTGTTTTTTTTTTTAATATTAGTTTAGCTTACTTTTTAATTTATAAAAATCATATCCCTTGATGTAGCATTTCTTTAAAAAAAAGAGACCGGGGAGACAGGGACCCAAAAAATAAATCACTACCATTTGTCTTATATAAAAAAATAGTTTTTTTTTGTCATTACTGGTTATGGTGGGGTCTGAGTTATATCTAGACGTTCCAATATGGCTTAAATAGCTATGGGTTTATTTTCAGTTAATTTTTTTTATTAAATTTTCAATTTGGTTTTATATAAAAAAGAACACTACAGTTGGTTTTTGTTTTTTGCTTGTTATTATTATTAAATATATAGTTTAACTTAATTTAAGTAGTTTTGTTAATTATTTCGTTTCCATTTTTTTGTAATTGTTAAAAATCATAATAATAATTGTTTTTTTATTTAATAAGAATAATATAAAAATAGTAAAAAAATAATAATAATTTATAATTTATCACGTAAAATTCGATCGATTTAATTCGATTTTTGTTTTATTTCTTTTGCTTACAAACTTAACTTATTTAGCTTTGTTTAGAGTACTGGGTGTGGGTTATTTTTTAGAGTTTTTAAATAATTGCAGTTCTTTTTAAGTAATTTTTATTTATTCTTTATTATTATAGAGGAGGATTTGAATGGGATTTTCATTTGGAAAATTATGTTTTATAGTTGGTTTGCAGCAATAGCAATAAATTTGGCAGATATTTATTTTTTTGTTATAGATTTTTTTCAGAGAATGTTATTAGTTTTTGAAAAAAAAAAATTTTTTTTTTAAATTTATTAAGGACTTGGGGGAAGTGTTTTTTTTAATTTTTTTTATATTTATATTTAATTTAATTAATTTAATTAATTTTAATTTATATTTAAAAAATGAGGAAAAAAGATTCGAGAATATTTCGTATGAAAAAAGCGTTGACTTTTGGGTCGAAGCAAAAATAGCTATTCGAAAATTATTTTGGATTAGAAAGTATGATACAATCATTGCAAGGTAGGGTAGGGTGATTAAATTAAAAAAAAAACACAACTCTGAATCTAAAGTTTTTGTAAAAAAATAAAAAAATTCAACAGTTTGATACTTTTTTCATAATATTTAATTTTTTGGGAGAATCGGAAAAGTTAGCGCCATGGCTATGCTTTGGAAATTGTTGCACCATGTTTGGAACTTATAGAAAGACTTTTATCTATGGAAGACGGACTGATAAACTTCTGTCCCTGGCAGATATAGACATAGAAAAGCTGTAAAATAGGACCTACCTTCAATATACAGTTCCTGAAAATGGGCAATATCTTCTGTATATTGAGCAGTTATTTCGGCAGACATTATCAAAAGACATTAGAAAGCCTGAAAGAAGTCGGAAATGCCCTCTGCTAATGGATGGCAGGCAAATTTCAATTTTGTTGAAATGTTTTTGTGGGGTCTTCGACCACCTGAAAATATTTCAAAGGAATCTCTTCTATAGAAGATCAGTTGTAGTTATACAATATTTTTAAGAACTTTGAAGGGTGTGTCTTATGTGTTATAAAAAAACTGTTCTATAAGGTCTGATGTAGAAAAAAGCATCGATTTTTATTTCTTATGGGTCTGGTAGGAGTCTTTCAATAATGGAATACCACTTCTATCCATAACAGGACTTTAGAAGGTCTTCAGAGGCCTATGAGGCATCTGTTATTTATAAAAGGACTGCAAGAGGTGATATAGCTTTGAAGGCCTTATAATGAGGTTTCTTCTATAGAAAATCAATATCTGCGGATTATAAGACCTTTAGAAGACCTGAAAAAGGTTTTTTTTTTATAGAAGACCTGTAAAAGGCTCTCTGCTATAAAACAGCTTAAGAACGTATATTATAAATTGAAACCCTGAATAATGACTTTTACCAGAGGTTCTTATATCTATAGAAGATTTGCAGAAAACTTCTATAGAAGATCAGCTGTAGTTCTACTAACTATTTAAGGATTTTAGAGGGCCTGTCTTATGTCTATAGGAAAACTGCCTGATGTAGAAAAAAGCATGGATTTTTATTTCTTTAGAGTCTGGTAGGAGTCTTCCCATAATAGAATATCTTTTCGATCCATAACAGGACTTTAGGCTTATGAGGCGTCTTCTATTTATAAAAGGATTGCAAGAGGTGACATAGCTTAAGAAGGCTTGTTAAATGTTTTTTTGGTAATGAAGCAGTGAAGTCCACCTAAAAATATTCTATCTAAAATAGACTTAAAATGAGGTTTCTTCTACAGAAGATTAGGTCCTGCGGAATATCTTCCAACAATAGAAGAACTATGGAGGATCTCCTACCTACAGAAGACCTCAAAAAAGGTAGCCTGTGTATGGAAGTCCGGCAGAAGGTCTTCTATATTTGACAGTCCTGTAGAAGGTCTACTGTCTCGGGTAGATATGTAGAAAGCCTCTGTTTATAAAAGGCTAGAGATTATGGAAGGGTCAGAAAGTTCACCATCCACAGCTATTGTATAGCCGAAAGACCTTCCGTGGATTTTCTGTATTTAAGTATTAATCAAGTCTTCTAAAGATAATTTGACCTGTTCCCGTCTTTTAAAATCGAAGATGTTTTATTGTTCTTCTTTAGCTAGAATACCTCTTGAAAGGCTTTAATTAAAATTTGTATACCGTCCACCATTCGGAAGGAATTTGAAAATTTTCATAAAAAAATTCCGTCAAAAAATTCCGCTCAAAGGAAAAACTTCTATATGGGGGCTATACAAAGGCGTCATGGTAGGCTGTAGTAACGATTCAGAACTTCAAACATGAAATTTGACGCAATTCCGGTAAATAATGTCGCGAAACTCCTGAAAAACCGAATATTTCGGGGAAACGTTATATGGGTGCTATACTAAGACCTATATAGACAATTTCCTTACAGGGGATAAAGTACCAAACAAAGAACTCCTTGTGTAGAATTTCAGACATTTTCATTGAAAAATGAGGTTAAAATCGTCAAAATACCGAATATCGGAGGGCACCATTGTATGTGGGATATACGATATCGTGGGCCTATATAGACAATTCTTTTTCAGGGGGTAAAGTAGTCACGGAGACTTTTGTTGGTTCTAAAATTATTATTTAGATGCGTTACAAACGGAATGACGAACTTAATATAGCATCCTCATTATGTATTGTGGAGGGTATAAAAAGAGCAAATAAATTCATGTACTAATTTGTCTTTAAGAGACCTGGAGAAGGCCTTCCAAAAATAAAAGATTAATGAATATAGTTCCTAATACACAAAATAACCACATATTTGTGGACATGGAAATCAATTCTTGTTCTATAAAAATATGAAATGGAAAATATTTTCGAGTTTTGCCTTGTTAAGGCGAAGATCATATGTTTTATGATTTAAGTGTTTTTCATTATACATTTCTGGAATTTATAAAAGTTTACATTTCACAATGCAGCCCACATGGACATTATTAAGTAATGGGTTAATAATGTAATTTTGAATGAGTTTTGTTTCTGGATTTGTTTACAACTTTTTCCTACCACTTTTCCTTTTTGAAATATTTTTTCCCCAACGAAATATATAATTACAATAACATCGAGAAATACAATTACAATTTTCTGAACAATACAATTTTTATCTGAACATGTTATAATTCATATACAATTTTAAAGCATCCATTCATTTCTAAACATTTTCAATAAAATTTTAAACAAATTTGTTTTTTAATAAAAAATAATTTTTAATTTTTAACATTCTCACGAAAAAAAATCCTCTTTACACAGGAAAATCAAATCAAATGGTTGTCATGAAATAAAGCTAAACAAACATTATTTATTTGTTTGTTATTGTTGTTAACATCTATTTTGGTAACATACTAAACTAGTTTTTTTGTTGTTGTTTTTGTAATCACTATTCTTGCTTACTTAATTATCCCTTTTTGTCCTTCTTGTTTCGAGTGACACTGAGCTTTTTTCTTCATTACTTTTTTTTAAATTAATAATTAATTTGCAGTTCTTTGTTTTGGTTCATCCATTCGATTATACTTCGACTATGTTTTACATTTGTTTTGTTTCTTATGTGAGTATTCGTCGTTTAATTCTCTGTTAATTCTTTTGTATTTAAAATTAAATTTTTCTTGTTTGTAAATCTAAAACTACCTTGAACATTTCAATATTTATTTTTTTTGTTACTGTATATAAGTTTTGGAATATTTACAAGTTTTTTTTTTTTTTGTTATAAAGAGAACATTTTATTTTTGTCATTACCACCACATTGTAATTTTCTTAGTTGTATATATTGTTTATTATTAATTTGTTTTACTTTCATACCATGGCACAGGAGACATTCATTTTTTGTTTTTATTTTTTCATTCTTTTTCTTTAAACAATTAAATTTCTATTCGTTGACCATTTAAAAGTAACAAAATCGATTTTTGTAATTCGTTATTAGTTGCGGTTGTTGTTGTTTCGTTTTTTTTTATAAACATTTAACACAATTTTTTGTTTAATTCTATTGTTAAGTTTTCGAAAGATAAATGCAAGGAGGGGAAAAGCTGAACAATTTTTGTTTAGAAAGAACTTTTTGAATTTATGAATGATAGACTACATTCGATTGTGGAAGAAGTACTTCCAAAAAATTTCTGATAAATATTTAATCCTTGATGTCCCTTAAAGGTGTACTATTTATCAATATTTATTTATCTTCTGACACATATGTATATAATTCTTCTAAATTTGAAACATTGTGAAAATCTTATTTCTAGACAAAAGTTTATCTGAAATGCAAAATTTTTTGATAAATAAAGCCATTTAAATTTTGGGTTACCGGATCAAATTAAAATCATGGGTAATAAAAAAATTTTGTAAGAGACGCTGATTTTGCATGATCTAGGTCTGAAAGAGGATTTGCCTGAAGTCATCAGATGTCATTCTATTTACAAAGCCAGTATATAGCATTCTATCTTTGAAAGTAGCTCTAACTCTAGAAGACATGTCGAAGGTCTTTGCTCTTCGGTCTTCTAAAATTTATGACCATATATATGTCATGACCCTTTGATAACTCTTTTTTCAGATATTTTGCAAGGTTTCTTATTTAAAACGGAGAGATCTTGATTAGATCTTCTATATAACTATCTAGACAGTCAAGCTACCCTTAAAATACTCAGTTAGGTCTGAAAGTGAATTGTCTGAAGTCATCAGACTTTATTCTATTTACAAAGCTAGTAGAAGGCCTTCTATTTTTACAAGTAGATCTAACTCTGGAGGACGTGTTGAAGGTGTTCGATTTCTTATAATTGATGACCATTTATAGGTCTTGACCCTTTGATAACCATTTTTTAAGATATTTTGCAAGGCTTCTTTTTTCAGCTGAGAAATCTTCATTGGATCTTCTATATAACTATCTAGACAGTCAAGCTACTCTTAAAATACTCAGGTCATTCTCACTCAAATTCGAAATTGTTTGGAAATAATCGTGTGAATTGTTTTGTGGTACCGGTGCAATTCCCCATCATGGGTAGTACAGTGGGAAAGAAAGTGTGAAGTAACCAGACTTCTTCTTCATTGAGAACAAGTTTTACTGAGAGGAAACCACGAAAATTGGGCGCAAAATGGGAGTTAATTTTCAGAGTCAATCTGGCCGGAATTTTAACTTTAAGAACTCTACTAGCACTATTCCTATATGTATGAGAGCTACATCCAAATCTGAACCGATCTTGACAAATTTTAAAACATTTATTTCTGAACTGTATCTGATATGTGGTACCAAAGATTATTGTTGTGGAGTGCATATTACGCATGTGAGGGACTTTAACACCAAATCTGATAAAACATATATATGGGAGCTATAGCTATATCTGAACCGATTTCCACCACATTAGAAGTACTTGTTTCTAGGATGAATCCAGTCAGAAGTGCCAAAATTCAGTGCATTTTGGCTGATATTAGCTATTTGGTGTACATAAACCTGATATCGGATAAAAATATATATGGGAGCTATATCCAAATCTGAACCGATCTTGACAAAATTTTAAACACTTTTTTTGGTGTTGTATCTGATATGTGGTACCAGATATCATTCTTGTGGAGGGCATATTACCCATGTGAGGGACTTAAAACCCCAAATCGGATAACACATATATATGGGAGCTATAGCTATATCTGAACCGATTTTCTCCAAATTTGAAGTCCTTGTTTTTAGGAAGAATTCAGTCGGAATTTGCAAAATTCTGTCCATTTGGACTGATACTGGCCATTTGGTGAATAAAAAAACTGAAATCGGACAAAGATATACTTGGGATCTGATCTCGATACAATTTTACAGAGGTATTTCTGAGCTAAATAAGTTATCTTGTAGCAAATATCATTCTTGTGAAGTGCATATTACACATGTGAGGGAGTTAAAACCCCAAACCGTATGACACATATATATGGGAGCTATAGCTATATCTGAATCTATTTTCTCCAAATTTGATGCAATTGCTTCTAGGATGAATTCAGTCAGAATGGCCAAAATTCAGTGCATTTGGGCTGATATTGGCCATTTGGTGCTCAATTAACCCGAAATCGGTTGAAGACATATATGGGGGCTATATCTAAATGTGAACCGATCTCGATAAAATTTGGCAAAAGTATTTCTGAGATGTATTTAATATAGTTCTCACAAGTATGATTGTTGCAGAGTGCATGTTAGGCAGAACAGGAGAAATTTAAAAAAATCGGATGGAGAATATATATTGGAGCTATAGCTATATCTAAACCGATTTCCACAAAATTTGACACACTTGTTTCAAGTTTCAATTTGGTTATATGTACCAAATTCCATGCACTTTAGACTAATATTACATATTTGGTGCACAATAAAAGGCGAATCGGGCGAAGATCTAAATTTTGACCGATTATCTTCAATTTCAATAGAATTCGTCCTTGGACCAAACAAATGTTTTGTGCAAAATTGTATCACAATCGGACTATAAATTCGACATATACTTTGTTTACAAGAATATATGAACAGACGGACATGAATAAATCGACTCAGAATGTGATTCTATGCAGATCATCAAAAGGAACTATGGGTCTAATTCGCTTCCTTCTCTATGTAACAAACAAATGGGCAAAGACATAATACCCTGACCACAGTGTGGTGTAGGGTATTAAAAACAAACAGAAAAATTTGAATTATTTAATAATCTTAGAACTCCTTTCACTAGCTAAGAACATATGTTGTTTTTGGGGTCTAGAAAAATGGACTAGATGAATTACAATCGGAATGGCAATCAATCTTCTTTAGTGTACTATCTAACAACTTTACGTTCAATCACTATTCCAAAATTAATTCATCCTTTCCCCTTGCCTTCGCATCTATCCTTCTAAACATATTCTACATTATAATACCGAAAAAATGTTTGTTTTTTCTTACAACTAAGTATATACTACATAACTACATACAAATTCTCTTATATAATTTCATGTAATATTGAGAGGTTACTTTACTATACAATTATTTTCTCTGTTACTTTTCGTTTTTGTTTTTGTTCAATACACATATCAAAATTTTGTTCTCTTCAAGAAAAGGCATCTTTAGTAAAAAACAGTTTTAACAAATTAATACAAATAAAAATAATAATTATAATAATAATAATGAGAATTATAATAATAATATTAATTAATTATAAATTGTAATACAACGACTTATGTTACGTCTATCATTACATCATTTAGATCCACAGGGAACCAATAGTTTCGGTAATTATATCTAAAACATCTTGCCTTTCCATTTCCTTCAGAACCATCAGTAGCTCCACAATGGTATGAGAGGCATGGGAGTTTTGTGTTGCCCGACATTCCCACAGATTGAGTATCTGTTCCGTGGGTGAGGGTTTTGTTGCAAAATAGGCTATATAACGATCGGTGTTTAGTTTCTTGGCCAACAAACGCCAATCTCGTTCATCTTCTCGTGGCGGATCGAGGGCAGTACAAATCCGCCGTTTTGTATCGCGTGGCAAATGCACAGTGGTCAGTGGCATTGAGGCCTCATTGACATAGTTGCCGTGCGGATCCATGGTAACGGTACTTTGACGTTCCAGCGACGAGTGTTGTGAGTGATGCGAGTTGGTGTGTGACGACAATGTCTGCTGCTGACCCGGCAATTGAGGTTGCGGCATTTGCGGTCGACTAATACTAAAGGAATGCACTTCAGAGTATAAATGATGACTATCACTACATTGAGCAAAATCGACAGTTAGTTCATTTGACGAGTACAACTGTTCGTTACGTTTAATCATGAATTCACAGTGCAGCACTGAGTTGTTGGACAATATATGATTATAGGGTATAATCTGTTCATGCAGATCCACCTCATGCTCCGTGTCCCACATATCGGCATCGGAGCTACGCAGACGTATATTCATATCACTGCTATTCAAATAGAAGGCAAATGCCTCACTTTCGCCCATAAATGAGCCACCCAGTTTCGATTCAATACTTGAGCAAATGTCCCGACTATTGGGGAAATCCTTGACTATATATATCCTCAACGAACAATTCGTACTCGAGGGAGTAAATTGACTAAATGCAATCAGGCGCATTTTCAAGCAATTCTGCACCGCAGCTGTGGGTATTTTCGGTTCGGCCACCACCACAAAACGTCCCAGTTGTTCGGTCATAATGTACACATGTTCCGCTTCCAATTGTACAAAAACTGGGGTGTTAATGGTTTCCTCGCCCACTGCAATGATGCGTCGCCAATTGACACTTAAATCATCCTGGTCATTGTCGGCATAATAAATGAAAACATTCCACATATTTGGCTCGACCAGGCAATGGGGAATTTTCAATATGACCGGTTTCAGGAAGGTATAATTACGTGGTGAACAATGCACAATTGTACTGCATACAAGCAGGGCATCTGAATTGGGTATGGAGACGCGTGATGTTTCATCACTGACCAACATCAGCGAGACATGTTTACGCATACTCTTGCCAATCGAGTGTTCGGGAATGTAGAGCATGATTTCACCATTATAGAGATTCAAGGAACCTCCGCTACAGTTCAGCTGATCATAGGTGGAACATTTTGAGGCAGCCGACACGGCTCCGGTTGCACTGCCACCGATTTTGGCATTGACTTCGTACGTTGAATTGGCTGGAATGGAAGGGAAGAATGAAATAGATTAGATGGAAATTTACTGTAACGTTTTGGCTTATATATAAATTAAATGGCTGGATGTGAAATCTACCCAATGATATAAAATGAAAGAATGAAATCAACCCAATAAATAAAAGAGCTTCAATAAGACTTTTAGAGACCCCTATCCTGTCCGTTTTCTATATGTATACAATTTTTTCCAAAATTTTCTAGCTTTCTATAGAAAACATTTAATGAACTTTTCATGGATGAAGGATAGTGCTCCTTCAGGTCAAAATTCGGAGATTTTTTTTTATATTTTATAGATGACCATTACAGCAACAATGCTGGGTATATGTTTTTTAAGGGACCATAAGAGCAATAATTTTTATATTTTTTTTTAGAAATTTCTTTCGAGAAGATTTTCTGGTTTCTAAGAATATGTTTTCTACCAGAACAAAACCTGGGAATATTATTTTTGTATGAATATTTTGCAAAGAATCATTAGGATAACGACACTGAAATTGTTAAAAATAAAATCGGCAGGTTAATGACAAAATTAAGGCCTTTTTTAATATTTTCTAAAGGACAATCAAGACAATTAAAAATAATTATTTAGGGAAGTCTATTTAAAGCATCAGGGGGCCTTTAGATATAAGAATATTTTTTAGAGGCCATTTATGATCATAATTGGCGATATTTCAAGAATATTAAGATCTCTTATAAATCTATTATATAAGATTATTAGGATTACAATTCTGAAATTTTATGAATATTTATTTAAATACTTTCTGGAAAAAAATCAGAAATGTTTTAAGAATAATTCCTAGGAGAACGTCAGTGATTTGTAGTTCTTTTAACTTTTTCTAGAGGACTATCAGAAAAAAATAATGGATTTCCTAAAATATTTTCCAGAGGATCTTCAGGGCATTCATCCTTCAAGCATTTTGTCAAGAATCAAAGTTATTTCAATATATTTTCTAGATAACCTTCATGGCAATAGTCTTGGCTTTTTCCAGTATACTAATAGGAGATTTTGAAGTACATATATTTCTGGGATAAATCGGGACTATGTCCTTGACTTTTCGGGAAATTGTCAGCAATAATACTGGATTCTAAGAGTATTACCCAATCAGTGTAGCAATCCTAATTCTTTTTATCGTGTTAAGGGACCATTAGGGTTATTACCCTGGATTTTTTAAGAATTATTTCTAGGCTGCCACAAGGACAATTTTCCTACATTTTTTTAAGAATGTTTTTTTTCGAGGCAATTATCCTGGATTTTCTAAGAACATATTATATAGAAATGCTAAAACAATAACATTCATTTTTAAGAATTTTTTCTAAGTAGCTTCATTTTTTTGAAAAAAAGAAAACCCTCAAAGACCTTCAGCAAAAATATTATGCGTATTTTCTAAAGGACCTTATGGACCCTAATTGTTTGGTTTGGTGTATATTTTTGAAATATTCTGAACTATTTAAGATAGAGCTCAAGCATTGATTTTTCTCCTGGGATGTTCAATTTCGGATATGATGGAATATATCGGTCCGCGTTGAGGTATAGCATCCATATAACAGTACCTTATGACTTTTCGAATTTTTAAGGTTTTGGTCCCGATTCCCAACCAAATCTGATGAAGTTTGATGTTTTGGGATCTAAGAGTATAGTTTAAACCTTACAAATAATATTCATGTAGGTCCACTTTTTGGTATAGCCCCTAATACATCGATATCTGCTGATATTCGGTATACCGTAGGTTTCTGCCCACTTTCCAATCAAATCCTTTGTAATTTGATATTTATGATTCTTTGCGGTTATAAAAGCTCATCTCGAAATATATTTGGTTTATATATTTGTATAGCCCCCATATCGGCACCTCCTAATTGTCGGTAATCTGAAGGTTTTGGCCCTAAACTTCCACTAAGTCCCCTGTAATTTGATGTTTTTTGTGGGTCAATTAAAACCTTCTAAAAAACATCCATTTCAATTCTTTCCACATCGTCATTCAATTCCACTTAAATTGTATTTTTTCGGCACTCATCTCTCAACTTACAGGTATCAACAGTTGAAGTATCTGGCGTATCGGTCAAATAGTCCACACTAAGGTCGTCGATGGGATTAACATAGCTGTGAGGGAAAGAAAATTGCATTAGAAACAAATTAAAAAAATGATATTCTCTCTTAAACTTACTTGGCCGACAGATTTGGTACATCATAATGATGTTCGGATATGGAGCAGCCACCATGATGGCTGGGCGGCAGGAAACGATGTCCCGGACTGGCATAATCATAATTATCGTTGGCGGTTTCGATGTGCATGCGCATATCTTTTTTGCTAATATCAGGTAAATATTTAGGATCCATAACTGGAAGAAAAAATAAATTTTAATTTTGAATGGAATTTACATAGGGTTTTTCGCATAGCTCCAAGTTAGGGTTGGATTACACATGATGTTAGAGTGATATGTAAATTGACTTTTTCAATATTTGTCTGTAAAATTTGTTATAGCATACTCTTAGGAGCTTCCCAACATAATAATAATAACAAAACGCTGTATGGTATATATTAATATAAACATGTTAAAAAATAAATATACTAAAAATAAATAAAAATTATACTAAAAATATCGAATAAAATACAAGTGTATTTATGTAATGTATAATATATAGTTTACATAGTTTAAAAATAGTAGGAAGCTTCTTAAAATATACTATAAAATTGTAAAATATAAAAAGGTCGCTGTACATATGACAATAACATAATGTGTAATCACGCCTAAAAACACGATTCTTGTTCTATGAAAAAAGGAAATGGAAAATATTTTTCATATAGAAAACTTCATTTGTTTTCATTTCAATTTTAATTAGATCAAGAATTGACCCAAGTGAAATATGAAATGAAAAAAAAATATTTATAAAATTTCCTATTTCCTATTATTTTATTAAATTTATTATTTATAAACGTTTTCATTCAAATTTTTTAATAGAACAAGAATTGATCCCCAGGAGTTCGCCCCTTAAAGATATCGGGAATACAGGGAGAGATAAAAAAACTGCAACAAAGTCAAGCGCCATGATTTCTACATTTTTTTTTAATTTTATTGAATGAAAGCAAAAATGTCGAAGATAGCATCAAATTTTAGTATAAGTTAAGATTTGTTCGGATTGGTCACCTTTGACACGAATTATGGCCTTCAAACGACCAATGAAACCGTCACACGCTGCCCGAATGTTGTTCTGGGGTATTTTGGCCCATTCCTGGCGAAGAGCTTGCTTGAGGTGATCGACACTTTGGTATTTTTTAGTGCCAATCTTTCTTTCCAAAATACTCCCGACACAATAGTCCAACGGAATGGTATCCGGGGATTTTGATGGTCATTGTTTGCTGGAAATGAAGCGAGGAACCTCATTTTGTAACCATTCTTGGGTGGCGTGTGCAGAGTGCGATGTTGTTGAGTCCTGTTGGAATGTCGTAGGTCTGCGGCAAAAATGTTTACGGGCCCAAGGCTTTAATACACCCTCCAGCCATTCGGCATTTATTCTGATGCCGCGGTCGATTAATACGAGCGAAAAGCGACCATCGGCTGTTATGGCGGCCCACACCATCACCATGGCCGGCGCTTGAGTTCTGGTAGCCAACCGAAGGTGCACATTTTCAGCTGACCTCTTTGGCTGCTGGGCAACGAATGTTTTCTCATCGGAGAAACCCAAATTTGGCAGTTCATCACTTTCGGCTAGGTGAAGTAACTCTTTTGAGTCTATTTTCTTTCTGTAGCGGTGTAAGTTCTTGCACTTTTTGGAATTTCAATGGCTTTACCCCGAGCCCATTTTTCAATATTTGCCGAATGGAATATTGCGATATGTTCAGATGGTACGAGACACAAAAGATTTATTCACATTTAAATCCTGGAGTGCTCTAATGATGGCCACTTGTGGCTTCCAGCCAAATATAAAGAAATCACACTATTACGCTTAAATTCCATCACGAATAACTTTTTTTCTGGAAAATTTTCACCAAAATGCAAACAATATGATGATCTGTCACTGCAATAATTTTAACAGCTGTCGTACGAGTGGCTTAGAAATGACAGCAGTCTGAAGTTTGTTGCAGTTTTTTCATCTCACCCTGTATATCTCTTACTTACCCGTTCTGGTCATATTATAGTGTTGATTGACTCGTATCCCCTTGCGGGCACAGCATATTAGGGCGGCACCAAAGGCAAAGAACACGGCCGTGATGAAGGCCAAACCCAAGTACAGGGTCCAATCGAAATCTGTAATTAAATGGTGTTGTTATTGTTGCTGTTGTTGGAAATTAAATTGCAGTTAATTTTTTTAAAGATTCGTTATCTATTTTCAAGTGAGTGAGGAGGGTTGGGGGAGAGAGAGGGGGAACAATGAACCATTAAATGGCCACATAATTTGCAGTCTCAATAAAATTAAGCCCCTCATCCCCTGTCATGCCGATAAAGTGGGTAAGTAACGGCGTTTGTCATTAACATGTTGTTGTTGATTCTGATTTTGATCTAAGTAATTGTCAAAACAATGTTGTTGTTAATTTGCGTCTTTGTTGTTGTGGCTGCTGTTCTTTTCTTTTTAAACTAGACAACCCACCGGATTCTGTGAATGATACAATTCAATCTGTGCTTTTTATGTCTTACCCACACCACAACCACGGCCACCCTCAATGGCTCCTTACCCCTCTGCTTTCGCCTGACATTTAGCCATCCATCTACATGCAGATAGATCTCTCTCCTCCTTCAATGGAAGGTAATTAATTTCCCCACAAAAATGCTTTATGTTGTTGTTTTGGAAAAAGTAACATAAAAACCAGATGACATTTTAAAGAAGAGTAGAGAACCGTGCCATGCCAGGCCGTGGCATACTTGCCAACCAGCCACACATGACGTCTTCTTTTCTGAAAACATTCAGCCGAGATTCGTTAAGGCCGAACATGACATAATGCCCAGCAGGAGGGATGGGGTTCTATTGAACAAAAAGGATATGTCATTGGAAGAAATGAGAAGTTGGAGGAGGATGCTCGCTGTTGCAACAGAGAGAGAGAGAGAGAGAGCTCTCAGAGCTATGTGTCACAAACACAAAACAAAGCCGGAATTAACAAGAAGCGCAACAATGGTCCTCATCATCATCATCATCGTTGTCGTCGTTATGGCAAACAAAAAGCATAAATCCTGGGCGGCATATATCATCCCCCTCCTCAACTACACCTCCTCACCACACATATAGACAATAAAATTGAATTTTTAAACATTCTATGACAAATGTGAGCGTGTGTCATGTTTGTCTGTCTGTCGCTCGGTCTTATTGTTTGCTCTCTTACCATCTTTGCCTATTTGACAGAACTCCCCACGACATTCAGCCGTCTGTATATCCTTTCCGCTACATTGGGCTTTGGCGCTCGGGCCTAGGGCACTCGAACTGGAGCTGCTTCCGCCACTATTGCCAAGAGCAGTTGTGCTTAGACCGCCCAGCTTCAGGCCCAGGCCCGTTGCACCCACAACCACATCATCATCGTCCTCGTCATCATCATCCTCATCGTCGTCGTCATCATCATTCAACAATATATTGCCGCCAACTGGAAGACATTTCCTACGTCTTATTTGTATGCATTCCGAAGAGCATGAACTCCATTCACTCCAGGTCGACCAACGTCCCGCTGAGAAAGAGAACAAAACAAAGGGAAATAAGAAAAAACTCAAATAGTGGAAAAACAGTTCAAGTCATAAAGAAAATGGCAAATGCAGGCTGAAAGGCAAAAACCAAAGCTTGCATCCTTTTGGAATGTATTTCAAATATCTTATCCGAACAATAATGAGAACATTGAAATCCAAAAACAAATACAAATAACAATAATGCGAATAAAAAAGTCAAAGAAAAACCATCACCACCACCATCAAACCTAAGAAGACAACACAACAAAAGGAAATGCGCCACCAGAGCAAGAGCAAGAAATTAATATCTTTATTGTTTGTTGAACATGTCATATTCTGCTGCCACTGGAGCAGGGTACCCAATAGCAACAACAACAACAATACGAGAAATTATGAATTATATCACACAACCACTGCTAGCTAGAGCTAGACGACAGACATGCCATGATTCTGACTATATTTTATTTCCTTCCTGGGCTAAAGGGAAAGAAACCCCCCCCCCCCCACCAGCATTTTGGCATACGTTTGACTTCTTAGCACCCATCTTTCCCCGCTTCCCGGAAAACACATCTTTTGGCATTATTGTTGTTGTCACAAGTATTGCTAAACCGTAGCGCGTATAATATACGAAGAAGATTCTTAACATCAGCAAGTTTTAGCTAAAGAAGGAGCGACAAAAAGGACACAATGTTCCATTCTTAAGTATTTGATTTTTTTTGTTGTTCTGCTGTGCTCTGCTCTGTCATACTTATGACTGCTTAATGTGTTCTTCTGTGGGATTCCTGTGTCTTAAGTATACTTGGATATCCATTCATTCACATGGATACGAGGGAGGTTTGGGGAAGTTGGGGAGGAGGAATGTGAGGGGATAGCAACTGATAGATAGTCTTATCGACAAATGATTAATGGATAATTTTAGCCACAGAAGCGGAAAATTTTATCCAAAGAAGTGGATAAAATTATCCATTTCCGTCGATAGAATTATCCACTTCTGTGGACAAAAGTTCATAGTTTTTTCCACAAGAGTGGATAATTCTATGCACAAGAGTGGATAATTTTATCCACAAAAGTGGATAATTTTATTCACAGAAGCGGATAATTTTATTCACAAAAGTGGATAATTTTATTCACAGAAGCGGATAATTTTATCCACAAAAGTGGCTAATTTTATCCACATATGTGGATAATTTTATCCACAAATGTGGATAATTTTATCTACACAAGTGGATAATTTTATCCACAAAATTGGATAGTTTTATCTACACAAGTGGATAATTCTATCCCCAAAAGTGGATAATTTTATCCACAAATGTGGATAATTTTATCCACAAATGTGGATAATTTTATCCAAAAATGTGGATAATTTTATCCACAAATGCGGATAATTATATCCACAGAAGTGGCTAATTTAATCCACAAACGTGGATAATTTTATCTACACAAGTGGATAAGTCTATCCACAAAAGTGGATACTTTTATCCACAGAAAAGGAGAATTTTATCCACAGAAGCGGATAATTTTATCCACCAACGTGGATAATTGTATCTACCCTCAGCCATATGGATAGAGATGATATATATCATTTGATGCGACCAAAACGTGCCTCATCGAAATAACGGTTTTAGACCCTAGGTCTCTTTGGACCAAATCCGTTTCAGGACATTTGTAGTCGATCTAGCGATGTCCGTCTGGCTGGTGCGCCAGCCCTCTCGAAGGAAATATCCGCTTTGGTCTAAAATAGGTACATCGTAATATTATTATCAAACTTAGATCGAGGTCGGAGATGGGTAATAGCGGATCACTCCTCCCACACAATAGGTCGATATTTTCTAAAAATGTTTTACTGCACAGAAAAAGAAAGGATAATCCAATTTTTCTCCAACTTTACAAATCCTAATATTTGCAACAGTGCTAGGTCAGGTGAGAAAATAGACAATGTCGGTCCACTCCATCAAGAATCTCGTTCACAAAGGGTCAAAATTTGGAATAATCATAACTCTTCTAAAATATGACGTAAGAGTTCAATTGTCTTTAAATTACACACATCACAATATTTTTATTAACCCAAGGTCTGGTCTGAAGATGGGATATATCGGAGGGGACCGATATATTTATTTTGGGGTACCTCCGCCACAACGTTTAAAATTTTGAATATCCATGAAGCTCATAAAACGCGAAATTAACATCCGATTCCATTCAGCCTAAACACATCTCAATATTTCCATCAACACAAGATCTGTTATAAAGATGGTAGAGATAGGGCCATTTCTTCTGGTACCTCCCTCACATAGGGTCAAAATGTTGAATTACAAAAACGATTATAAAATCCGAAATAAGCATCCGTTTCTCTTCATATTTCACACATCCCATTATTTCCACTAACACAAGATCTGCTGTGAAAATGGATTATATTGGTCTACTCCTTCTGGTACCTCGCCGACAAAGGGTCCAATTTTTGAATATCCACGAAACTCATAAAACGTGAAATTAACATCCGATTCCATTCAGACTTGGTACATCTCAATATTACGATCAACGCAAGATCTGTTATAAAGATGGTAGAGATCGGAGCATTCCTTCAGGTACCTCCCACACCTAGGGTTCCGATACTCCCTTTAAGTGTTATCGTGCTTCAGACTGCTGTCATTTCTAAGCCACTCGTCCGACAGCTGTTAAAATTATTCCAGTGATAGCTCATTACATTGTTTAGAAGCGTACAAAAGCTTTTTGGTGAGAATTTTCAGGAAAAAAAGTTATGCGTGATGGAATTCAAGCGTGATAGTGTGATTTCTCTATATATTTGGCTGGAAAGCCACAAGTGGCTATCGTTAGAGAACTCCAGCATTTGCGAATAAATTTTTTGTGTCGCTCATTTGAATACCGTGATACTGGTAGCGTAGCTAGACGTCAAGGCAGTAGACGGAAGAAAACAGCAACATCAGCAGAAATGGTACGAAAAGTAAAGAAACGACTTGATCGAAACCCGCGTCGCAGTGGCCGAAAAATGTCTAGTGAGCTGAAAATATCGCAATATTCCATTCGCCAAATATTGAAAAATGAGCTCGGGGTAAAGCCATTGAATTTCTAAAAAGTGCAAGAACTTATACCGCAACAGATAAGCTAAAGAGTTGCTTCTCTTGCCCGAAAGTGGTGAACTGCCGAATTTGTTTTTTTTCCGATGAGAAAAAAATCGTTGTCCGGCAGTTTGTAAATGAAACAAAGAATGGTTACAAAATGAGGTTCCTCGCTTCATTTATAGCGCACAATGGCCACCAAAATCTCCGGATACCAATCCGTTGGACTTTTGTGTCTGGAGTATCTTGGAGAGCAAGGTTGGCACAAAAAAATACCAAAGTGTCGATCACCTCAAGCAGGCGCTTCGCCGGGAATGGACCAAAATACCGCAAAGCAACATTCAGGCAGTGTGTGACGGTTTCGTTGGCCGTTTGAAGGCCATAATTCGTGCCAAAGGTGACCAATTCGAACAAATGTAAACTTATACACGGTTGCCCATATTCGACGGACCCATCTGGCAACTCCATAACTTTTGACAGAGATGTCACATCGCTTAATGACATACCGCGTTTGAAGCGTCAGTCCAAGCAGATTTTTACCACGAGCCAACACACGCCACGCGAGCCCTCTGAAATAGTTGAAATTTACAAGAAGTCAATTGTGAGAACTCAACGTGCTTTTAAAACATTAAAAATGTGAGAAGTGCGCCTTATAAGAACACCATTAAGCGTTTATACGAAAAATTTTCGACTGGTAAGGCTCTTTCTAAACCGAAGAGGCCATATAAAAGTCGACCAAGGCGATCGGACAAGAATATCGCTGCCGTACGAGCCAGTGTTGAGAGGTCCCCAAGAACATCCCAAAAACGCCGTTCTCAGCAGTTGGGCATGGCTGGGTCCATTTTACAACGGATTATTCGCATTGATTTGCATTTGTTCCCGTACAAAATTCAATTGACGCAAAGAATGTTGCCTGCGGACAAGCCTCGTCGATTGGAATGGGCCCAAAGGTCCGTCGAATATGGGCAACCCTGTACTAAAATTTTATGCTATTTCCGACATGTTTTGCTTTCATTCAATAAAATTTAAAAAAAAGTAAAAATTATGGTGTTTGTCTTTGTTGCAGATTTTTTTTTATCTCACCCTGTATGTATACCCTCTCTGGCCATATGGCTGAGGGTATAAAAAAACTTTCTTAACCTCCCTCCTTACACATTATAGCTCACATTGTTGATGTTGTTCTTATTGCAATGTATGAATCTTGTTGCTATTATGGCTGCTGATGCTGGCTGTCTGTTGTTGTTGTTGTTGTCATTGTTCATGCTCGACTGTCATTTATTGTCGTCAGCATTGCTTGAGTTTTTGCTGTTGCTGTTGTTTTTATTTATTCCTCTTCATAGTTCATAAAACAATTTCGTATGTTGCGACAATGAGGACGATGAACGACGAACGTCAACAAGAACAACAACAGCATTAACAAGAAGAAGAGTAATGACAATCATCGTCACAATAAAAACAATAACAACCATTACTTCCAGTGCCACAGTAACAACAAAAACAAAAGAAGCTCCAACAACAACAACAATAACAATGCAAAATAAAATTAACATGTTTTTAGCATAATTCCTTAAAACACCAAATGCGGAGTAATGTAAATGGTGGCTGGCAAGCAGCAGGAACAGCAGCAGCGGCAGCAGCTTACAATCTTAACAATATAAAAATCCTTCAAACGACCAAAGTTCCATTTACAAGTGGTTTCATGCTGTAAGCTCCCCCCACCCCATCTCCTCTTGGGCCACATCACCACTTCAGCGATTAAAACAATGATGCAAAGTAACCAACAGATGACTCCAAAAAAAAATATGTGATATGATAATGAGTGACAATCACGGAGAGGGGGGAATATAATTTTCTACGGTGGAGGGGGGTTGTGGTGGCAGTGGCTAAAATAATCCCGGTGTGAATTTGAAATTACAGTGTAATTTACGTTA